CCCTCACGCATGTGCCAGGGCTCTACACCTGGCCCAGGCTTGGTGTCTGAGAGTTGAGCTTCTGCCTGGCTGAGAACGATAGGAACAGCAAGGAGGGCTGGGCTGCAGGGTAAGCGGCAAAAACATGTGTGTCACTGTCAAGGGCAGCCCAGGGGCCACTCAGCTGCAAAGGGAGATCCAATTGCACCTCGTCATTCGCAGAGCAGAAGAAAGGACTGTTAGGGACCAAGCACTGTACTTAGCAGCTCTTGTCCTGTAGTTCAGAAGCAGGGAGATGGCACACGTGCTTTGCTGCCCTCCCTGATTTGCACCTTAATGCTTACAGTGAAACCAGCAACCTCCCCCAGACGCCCTGTGGGAGTGATGAGGGTAGTGATGTAAACTGGATACGGCCTTCCGTGGGCGGGCCTGGGCTGCGGCCATGCTGTCGGGCGACAAGGGAAACCCAGAGGCAGAACTGTGTTTAAACCAAGCAGCAAAGTGATAATGCTTTAGTCTTCAGGGCACAGGAGCCTCAAACCCTTCCTGCAACCCCGGGAGCCTGAGGCGGGTGGTCCGAGGGTTGGCTCAGCATCTGAGGCCTGGCAGGGCTCTTGGGGACTTCTCTGCGAGTCTCTGACCCTCTGTGGCACATTGCAAGGCAGCCACCCAACAGCAAGTTCTCTTTGTGACCACTGGGAGGGAGGGGCCAGCCCCAGCTGGCATCGGCGTGGTCAGCCCAGCCAGCTTGTGGAACGTGAATTAAATGGCTGAAATCCTAACAATAATAGAGCAGCTTCTGGGTGGCCCTTTCGCCATCACTGTGTGGTTGAATGTTAAGTCTTTCACTTCTACATAGTCTTGTTGAGATTTATTTTTGTATCTCAAAGGTGGAACTACAGAGAAAGAGGGTGAGACAGAGATCCCCTATCCATGGGTTCACTTCCCAAATGGCTGCAACAGCCAGAGCTGGGCCTGTCTGAACTTCTCCCAGGATGTGGCCTAGCACCCATATGGGAGGCCAACATTGCAAGCAGTGACTTTACCTGCTAAGACACAGCACCCTCTCCCATCCCCTTCTCCTGTAAGTTGTAAACGACAGTGTCTCACCTGTTGTAAGGATGTGTGTCTCCCATCATGTACCTTGCACTGCTGCCTTGCTGCCGCCATTAGAAGCAGACAACCCTGCAGTACTGTGTATGGTTTGTGAGAAGAGGAGGATTCTGCAGCCGTGTTGGCGAGACAGCCTGGAGACTCAGAGAAGCCCTGACGTTGCATCTCCTGCTGTAAATCAAAGTGAGATGACACCATCCTCCTTGAATGGCAGTGCCCGGCCAACACACCTGAGATCTAAGGGAATCGGACCCCCACAGCTCAGAAGCGCCCGGCCTGGGCACATCCGATAGCAAAGTGATACCTCACGTCTCAGGCAGTGTGCAGGTGGAGCCCTTCATTCCATGACTCTGTAATTGTCTGACTGTGTATTGTTAACCCCTCCAGAAATCCAGACCTATAATAAAGTGGCTTTCGTAGACTCGAAACATTTGAGCAGAGTCGTTGCATGCCATGGCTCCTCTGCTGGCGAAAGGTAAGGAAGTGAGGAGACTGGATCTCATCTCATCTCTAGTGGTCAGTGATTCACTCACCCACTCACTCATCCATTTTTACAGTCGTCAGGTTCCTGGGTGCAGGAGCCTCGTTAGACAAGACAGAAGCCAGCCTGGGAAGTCGGTGTGGCCTCCCAGCGCGTTCAGCACAGGCTTGGTTTCCAGAGTCCCATCCCAGCAGGCATGCTTGCACTGCTTGACCCCAGTGTGGCGAGAAGTCCCTGCCAGCTCTCTCCTGCCAGACAACTCAGTGCCTCATGGAGGTTTTATCATTGCTTCAGTGAGTCTGCAATGGACTTGGAAACTGCATTGCTGAAATTCATGTTTTAAATGTTTTTAAAAAAATGTTGTGGAAACATTAAAACATGTAACAGCAACAATGCTCCCTGATGTGTGTGTTTGCAGACTGCTCTGTGAGACATGGCCCAAAAATGTAAAAGTTGGACTCAAACTTAATGTCTGTCCTGTCCACCTGCCCTACCCTCCTAAATCTGATCCTCGCCTTGACCCTGAGAGCAGACAAGACCATGGAGCCCCAACTCGGGCAGCAGAAGGACGTCTGGGCCACCTTTTGCTGGGTTCCTGGCTGGAATCCCTCCCAGGCCAGCTCTCCATCATGCCTCTCCTCCCTGCCTGGATCACCTGCTTGGACCCAGTTGCCAGCACTCATCCCTGCCAGTCCTGGGGCTGCCTCCCAGGGGGACTGAATTTCCTCACCACCCTGTCCCCTTCACCCCGTCCCATCACACGGGCTGTGCCATGCCCTGGCGCCTCCAAGCCACTCCCAGCTCTTGAGGCACCCAACTCCCTGCCACATCTCTTCTGCCCTTTCCCCTTCTCAAATCCACGAGCTGCACCTGCTCGCCCTTGGCAAGGACTTCTGGAAGCAAAATGGCACAGAAAATGTGTTTTCCTCACTTCGCTTTTAACCCTGGCCCTTCTACCTGTGAAGTTGGAATGCCAACTTCTCTGTACCTGGTCTCAGCTGTCGCGGTGTTCCAGGTCTAACTTGCCTGGCTTTCACAAGGCCCAAGGTGTCGGCACTTCCTCCTCCAGTTTGGATCTCAGCAAAGCTCCCTTGTGGGCAATGCGTGGGAATGCAAGTGGTTGTCCTTACTCTATGCCCTTCTCATGCATCCCATAGGCTCCTGGTTGGGGTCATACTCGGATAAAATGAATACCATAGAAAAATCGGGTTTACTAACAACCCAGAGCCCCTTGCTTCCCAAGATGGTGGGCAGGTGACTGTAGGGGTGCCCTGCCCAGGACCCTGCTGGGCCCAGCTGAGTCTACCTAGGTCCTCATTCTCCGTTTGGGAGAAATTAGGAGTATGACAGCAGATCACGGATATAATAACTTGAAAGATCCTTTTTGTCCAGAAGTCTGCAAGAGGCGGTGACTCCCTTCCGGTCAGGCTGCAGCACGGTATGAAAGAAGCACCATTCTACATAGCGCCTCAGCTTTGAAACATCTTCTGTTCAGGAACTCTTTCTTGTGCAGATAAAAAGTTCTTATTTTCTTAAATATGTGAATGCCAAGAAAGTCTTACTTGCGTTCATTTGTAAATCGAATCCCTTTTTAAGTATAGTACTTTTAAGGAGCTATAAAATATTAGAAATTAGCATTCTCACTAGTTTTCTAAGTTTGAGGTTAGTCAATTTTCTTCAGAGATTTTTTTTTTTTCCTTCACTGACTATAAAGAAATATTGACTTTGGAAGATTTCATTTTCTCCCCAGCTGTGTTGGAGACAGAGTTGACACATAAAAATTGTGATTGATGGTTTGTCCATGAAGGCCTTGTGGAATGCTGAGCGCCGTCCAGTGGCTGAGCACCTGCAGTACGCGCACTTCTGGAAACCGCTCTTTATCAATGCATCCTGCAACAGGACGCCACAGTCAGCAGTGCCAGGACGCCTGGCTGAGGCCAGTAATGTTAGCGTTTGTATTTGTTAGCTACGCTGAATCACAGAAGAAGTGCTTTTAGGCTCCTGACCCTACTGAAGATGTGTAATATTTCTAATACTCGTATCATCTTAATGAAGCGCGTAAAACAAAATAGCAGCTCAACTGTGAAGTTGCTCAGGATAGATTAGTGAATAGCCACAAGAGTAACCCGGCCGACTGGAGAGCCCGTTTGGAACGTGGGACTATTTATTACACTAAGCAATTATATTAATCAGATAGAAATGTTCCGAGTACATTTTCATTAACATGCTGTGTGTGTCCAACTACTTTTAAATGCTTTCATGGCGTTCCTACGGTGTCATCACTCAATAAATGTTTAATAAAAAGGCTTATTAAAGTTTTATTTGTTGTACTTAATGTAAGAGTGGAAATGAAGATAAATTAGGTTACAGTAATGGATAAAATGTAATTGAACTAATTTGGAGACCAGCTTAAATCAATTTTCTTATTAATTTAGAAAGGTTAAACACATGTGACCTCTACTTAAGATGTTCTCCAATATGTCGTTACGGAAAAAATAAGAACAATGCTTTGCCTTTTTACTCCTTCATTATTTGAAAAAGAATATTAGCTTTTTTAGATAAAAAAAAAAGGTTAATAACTTATGAATTAGATAAATATCTGCATTAAGCAATGGCTTATACAAGATTAAAATGAGGGGTTGGCTCCATGGCATTGTGGATTAAGCTTCAGGCAGCAACACCAGCATCCCATATAGCAACCAGTTCGAGTCCCTCCTGCTCCATTTTCAGCACAGCTTCTCCCTTATGCCTTGGGAAAACAGTGAAGGATGCCTGAGTCCTTGAGCCCCTGGATCCTTGTGGGAGACCCAGAGGAAATTCCTGGCTCCTGACTTTGGATCAACTCAGCTCCAACCAGTGTTGGCAGATGGAAGATCTCTCTCTCTCTCTCTCTGTAATTCTACTTTCAAATAAAAATACAATCTTTTGAAGAAAAGATTCAGATGAGATGTAAAAGCATGCAGGCGTGATGACAGTTGACTAGGATGGCATATTCACGTACCAGAACAGTCACCAACAGGATTTTAAATGACTTTTTTTCCACCATGCTTGTAACCTATCACCTGAGAAAATTTAGCAAGGTGTTAGTTAACTTATCTGCTGAATAAAACAGATTCTAAAATTTTGACCAATTCACTGTGTTAGTCGAAAAATTCTGTCACTGAGTTTTGGCAATATGGAGAGAGTATGTTTTCCTAGGACTGTGGCTGAGTCAAGTTTTGCAACATAGTGGACTGTGAGTTGATTTTGGTGCGCACAGCATCCGTGGAGCCTGAACCGCTGCTGTGGGTTCCTCGATCCAGGGGTGGAGCCCAGCATGGCCCCGCCCCAGCAGCCTTTGCTGGAGGCCTGACACTCCTCAACGACAGAGCGGTGAGAAGTCGTGATGAAGCGATTCCAATGAACTTTTCCTTTATTTCACTACCAGGCTATCAGCAGCAAAAGTCAGCACAGCATATCCTACACGCTGTCGAGGAATCAGACTGTGGTGGTGGAGTACACACATGACAAAGATATGGACATGTTTCAGGTAAGCCTGCTGCGATGCGCTTTCCCTCGGTTCTGTGTCCTGCTGTCGAGTCGCGACTCCAGCACCCCCCGTGTCTGCCGGTTGGGCCTGGGGGGCTGTCAACATTTTTCCTATTTAATTTTCCAAAGACTGAAAAAAAAGTAAGAAATGATGAATGCTACAGACTCAGATCTGAGTGCAGTAAAAAGAAATGTTAATAACAAGAATAAAAATTGTTAAAATCCAGCTACTTGTAAGAGCCAAACTGTTTGTAATACCTGCTAAATAGCCCTTGAATCAAACTCTAATGAGAGGCCCATTCAGAAATAAATGTGGGAATTAGTGCAACAAAACCCATGGAATGTGGCCAACATCTGATTCTCTTTTATAGAAAATGTAAAGTATTAAATATTTTTATGATTAAAATTTTGAAAAGGAAAGAGAAGCAGTGAAAGAATGAAATTCAAGAATCTGAATATATATTAAAAAAAATCAGCTCTTAAAAAAAATCACAGCAGTTAAGAGAGTACGCCCCACTGTTTGATACTTCAAGTCAGCAAGCCTTAAACTGAGGCTAATGAAGGACGAAGCAAATGCAGGCTGGGCGTGGGGAGGCTGAGTGTTTCCAGGTAATGTAGCGGCAGATGCTGGGAGAGCCTGGTGGCTAGCGACAGTCACCTGATGGCAGATCAGCTCAGGGGAAGCTGAATCTGCACGAGAAAGGGAAGCCACAAAAACTGGGAACAAAATTTAGGTGAAATTCATATTTTCGAGGTAGGAGAAATTGAAGAAGTAGGTTTTCTTTTATACAGTTCTTTCTTAACGTCAAGAAAGTTAGTAAGGGACAGTGTAGGTAGACAGAAGTCTGATAGCTGTAATATATGAATCTCTTATCCCACACTTTACCAAATGAACAAGGAACAAAGTATATGGGTCTCAAAAGAAGACCTATAAATGGTGAATACATAAGGAAAATAACTTTTTAAAAATACCAAGTAAATGAATGACAAAATGTTCTTTATTACTTATGAATGGAAAATGTTAAGTCATCTGGCATTGCCCAGCATCGTGTGGAATTTGCTCTCCCTGCGGAACCCTGGTAACAGCATAGCACTTCCTCCAGGGCCACAGTGCAGTTGGACCCTGAGTCCCCACAACTGGACCCACTGACCCAGCAAGTGGACCGTTTCTGTCCATACATAACTGAGCAACATCAGGGGCAAGCACCGGTTCCACTGGTGGACACGCCCCCGGGGAAGTCCATGAGCCATGTGGGGCTGCCTGGGACTAAGTCTCAGTTGTACTTTCCTGCTGGTGGCAGCTTCCTGCTAGTGCATACCTTGGCAGCAGGGCACATCTCACATACTTGGGTCCCTGCCATTCTCATGAGAAAAACTTGGATTGAGTTCTGGGCACCTGGTGTTGGCCTGGCCCAGCAGTTGGGGATTCTTCACACACACACACACACACACACACACACACACACACACACACACACACACACACTCACTACTGCAGTGTAAGACATTGCATTCCTGTAGGAAGAATCCTGTTTCTTAGTAACTTTTTCAAAATGTTCTGCAGGAGCTCCTGATGACATGCTATGCAGGTGTATTCTCCATTCTGTTGCAGCCGTTCACTTCCTCCCTTCTCTTCTCTGCAGAGTGAATGAAAGATTCAGTTGAGGTTTTTCAGCTTCCTGTGACTAACTTCCAGGCACTCTGCACATCACTGCCATTTTGTAGCACAGAATATTAAAAGGCTCAGCCATCTAATAAAGCTTGTTCTCCCGACAAGTACCCGGCAGTGACAAGCACAAGGACTATTAGCTCAGCCTGGGGCCACTGCCTTGCTTCATGCCTCAGCCACTTCTGCTAAGGTGGGCACCTGGCAGAGGGCATCCTGACGTCATCATGGAACCAGCGTTGCTGCCTGGACCCCTTGGCCAGGTCTCGGAGACATTTAGGGGCTTAGGCATTGTGCTCTGAGAAAGACCCATCTATACCAGCCTCTTAATGACGTAGCTGAGCTATCTGGGTCATTGGAAGGATAAGGAACATAAAGTGAGGGCAGAAAAGCACAAGTGGGAGAATGAAGATATGGTTTTCTTGAGTTCCTGACCTAACATCAGGTCTTTCATTGGAAGCATCATGAGCCAAACAAGAACGTGGTTTACCATTTTTATTAAAACATTCTAATTCCATTCACCGACTGATAGAACAGTTTTGAGGACTAATGTCAGGTCATGTTATGTTTTTGTTTTTAAAGACTTGTTTAATTGAAAGGCAGAATGATAGAAGGAACAGCGGCAGAGAGAGGTCTTCACTCACTGATTCACTCCTCAAATGCTTGCAATAGCCAGGACCAGGCCAGAGCCCAGAGTCAGGAATTCCACTCAAGTCTTTCACAGGAGGACCAGGGGCCCAAGGACATGGGCCATCGCTTGCCCACACCCATTAGCAGAAAACTGGATCAGAAAAGTGGAGGAACTGGGCCTCAAATCAGACACGCTGAGGTGGTATCAGTGCCCATGTGTTAGCCGTGGCTTTAGCCTACTGGGCTACAACACCAGTCACCGGCCGATGTCAGATGACTCTGAACAGAGTAGAGTTAACCACCTCTTGGCAGGCCTTGAACAGACAGGTTTATTTAAATTTGTCCCTCCTTTTAATAAGCACATGTGTCCAGAACCCAACATATACAACACACACACATCCGCAGCACACCGACACCTCCCCACCCCTGCCACAAGTCCTTGAGCAAAAAGCCGTGCCATGGCTGACAGGAGAGAGAAACTGGGCCAGGTGGGGAGATTGGGGTTTTAGTCCAAGGACTGTGGGAACCCGCCAGAGAATTTTAATCCAGCAAGAGGTGTCCTCTGGTTTGTGTTCCATAACATATTCACTGCCATGTGGAGAAGAATCTATGGGCCACTGTGGAAACAGGAGACCAGTTGAGACGCCAGATGTGTAGCTGGTGGTTTCTGCAGCTCAGCAGGTGCGGGGTTGGTTATAGTGGTGCTCTGCAGATGCACTCGGGAGGACGGCTGTCGGGGGTAATGGCAAGTCAAGGGTCACGGGTGGTCCTGAGGTTTTGATGTTCACCTCCAGCAACTTGCCTGACCAAGGTCAGCCCTGGCTGACCAGGATCTGAGTTCTGCTTGGCACATGCCAGGTATGAGATGTTCAGGAGAAATCTCAGCAATGTGCTGGTCGGAAGCTGGAAAGAGCAGGGCTTTGGGGCTAAGAAGTGGGTTGGTGAAATCATAAGAAAGCAAAGAGAAGGGAAGGTGCTGTTTCCTAACGAGCCCCGTGTTCCGCTGCTGTAGTTCCGGGTTATGGATTCTGCCAGCTTTGCTGGGTAAACTCTGGATGTAGCATGTATCGGCCTGGGAAGCTCAGCTTGAGTGTCTCACTAGAGCTGAGTAGAGGAACTCTGACAGAGTAGGCTGAGTCAAAGAGAGGGACTGGAGACAGGGTTGCTAAGGAGTGCTGTTACCGAGTGGCTTGGAGAAGCGGGACTCAGCTGAGTGTTCTTTGCAGGCAAAGCAAGGCAAAGTGGTGGTGTTGTCCTTCTAGACACAAGAGGCTGACGGAGGGCTCCATTCATTGGTTCCAGAATACCTGCAGAATCTGGAGTGGGGCAAGGAGCCAGGGACTCAATCTGGGTCTCCCACATGGGTGGCAGGAACCCAGTTAATGGAGCTGTCACCCTGGTCTCCCCGGGTTTCCATTAGCAAGAAGCTGGAGTCAGGGCCAGAACAGGGTGTGAAACCCAAGGATGCTCAGGAGACATGGGTGTCTTCAGCACTGGGCTCACTTCCAGCCTTAGGAAAGCATTTGGAAGATGGGAGACTGGGCCACAACAGGGCTGCTCTAACCGGACTCTGCATGTGAGGAAGCAAATGCGCACAGAAATCCAGCAGAGGAGTTTGGGAACTTTTGCAGTAGTTTGAAAGGGGCCAGTGAAAGGTTGATATTTAAAAAGAAACCAAATGTGGTCCTCCGACAGGAGTTTAAGACTCAGCAGAATGTGTTTGAGAGTTGATGGCATGATCCAGTGTAAAGGAACAAGTAGGTGAGAGGAGAGAGGGGGCACTATCAGAACCTTAGCTTGGGAGCGGGGAGACTGTTGGGTCCCAGGTGTCAGGAGAGGAGCTGGCCTTAGCTGGAGAGCAACAGACTGCCATCCTGGTCATAGAAGGCAGTCAGAATATGAAGTTCAGATGAAGGAGACCGATGGGGGTAACGGGGAAAAGGTGAGGGAGACCCTTGCAGGTGCTTCAGCACCTGAACTAGCGTCAACTGATGTCCAGGAAAGACCAGCTTCTCTTAGGTGCCTGTCACAGGGGAACTTCAGAAAGTTTATATGCAGGAGGCCTTCAAAGAGGTCATGGGCAATGTGAGTGATCAAGAAGCCATGCATGGATTGCAAATGTGGTTTTTTTTTGCACCAGAACAAACATATCTTAATTCCATTTTTCATGAGCCTTTAAAAAAAAAAGATTTTATTTATGTATCTGAAAGGCAGAGTAACAGAGAGAGAGGGGAGAGACAGAGACAAAGAAGGATTTTCCATCCATTGGTTCACTTTCCAAATAGCCACCACAGCTCGGGCTGGGCCAGGCCAAAGCCAGGCACCTGGAGCTGCATCCGGATCTCCGCTCCAGGTGTAGAGAGCCCAGCATCTCTGCCAGGCCAAAACCAGGCACCTGGAGCCGCACCTGGATCTCCGCTCCAGGTGTAGAGAGCCCAACATCTCTGCCAGGCCAAAGCCAGGCACCTGGAGCTGCATCTGGATCTCTGCTAAGGGTGCAGAGGGCTCTGCCATCCTCCACTGCCTTCCCAAGAGCTCGGCCGGGAGCTGGATCAAATGGGAACAGCTAGCACCTGAACTGGTGCCCCCAAGGAATGCTGTCACAGGCCAAGGCTTCACCCACTGTGCCAGGGCACCAGCCTGTCCCATGAATCTTTTAAGAACCCTGCTGTGTCTACTTGAAAGTGTAGAGTTTTCACATGAATGTCATGAGATTCAGCATCCTCCTGGCTGCCTTTGAAATAAGTGAGCTAATCTGATGCTGTGGACAAAGGGCAGGCTGTCAGTGTTCTGCATTGAGTTACTTCTCAGTAACTTAGGGCTTTTTTCTTTTTTTGTTTTTTTCTTGGCAAAAGCAGCATCATGCGTATGTCCTTACATCCACAATTTTGCTAACACTCTGGAGATTAGATTGAAATGGAAGTGAATTGGTAACGAAATCTTTCATAACCAGTCAGATGTGTTCCATGACTTAGAATAATTGATCCTAGCAGTACATCCATTTGGACTAAAATTTCGCATTTCCCAGTCAATCTCAGGTAATTCATTAAGACATTAATTTAATAAGTTTGGATAAGCTCAGACTGTTGCCCTTCCAAAGAAGAGTAATTTCTGTTGACAAGGAAGGGCAGTTGTGAGCACGTGCGAAAGGGATGGTTTAAGCATTGCGCTGGTAGGCTCTGCTCGGCTCTGTTAGACTTGCGGAGTTGCTGCCAACTTCCATGGAGTTTGACAGGAGTCAGAAGAGAGGCTGTGCCCCTGCGGGGGGTGCCCATGACTAGGCACTTGGCACTGCTATGCATCATTGGTACCAAGGTTCAGGATGGATTTGTTCCACCCTGTCCCCTTTACATTGTCCTGTATTTTGCAAAATGTATTTGTCATATCTTGAACTGTTTTGAAAAATATTTTTTAAAAGAATTACAGGCACCTTCATCAGGGGAGCTCCTAAGTACCACACGCGGCTTTTACATGAGGCCAGTGGAGGGAGCATGTTGCACCTGGGACAGATCAATTGTGTATGAGCTTATCCTCTCTTCAAGTTAGAGCATATTCTGCATCTTTATCAAGTTCCACGTTTCCTTACATCTGAAATGCATACATTTCAGGAAATATGCATCCATTCACATCGATGAGTTTCAGTGAAACCAGTAGCTTAGTTTATTCCAGACACATTTCACTAGGACCAGAAATTAAGGATTGCAGAGAGACAGAGAGAGAGAGGGAGAGAGAAAGCGAGAGAGAGAGAGAAGGGCCATGTGCTGTCTGTTGGCTTTGGAGATTGTCTGCATGACAGTGTACATGTGCAAAATAAACTTAATAACGTTGTTCCAGAAAGCAAGCAGAGAACCAAGTGAAGCAAGATTTGCATTTTCCTTTTCTGTATTCTGTATCCGAGAGGCAAAGACAGGGAGAGACAGAAAAGAGAGGAGCTTCCATCCACTGGCTCACTCCTCACATGCCCATGGGCCTGCTGAGGCCAGTTCAGATCACCCGAAGTGGACGTAGGGGACAGGAACCTGCTCACCTGAGCCGACATCTTCTCTGTCCCAGCATGTTGTTAGCAGGAAGCTGGAATCAGGAATCAAACACAAATTCTCCAAAGTGGTACCTGGGCATCCCAACGTGTGTCTTCACTACTCCGTGGTGGGGAACCTTTTTTTTCTGCCACGGGCCATTTGGATAGTTGCTAGGCCTTGTGTGCCTAATTCACAGGCGTTACGTGGCCCATGAGCCAGACAGTCCCATCCGCACACACAGTGCCCACCCCAGCAATCGGCGTTTGTGGCCATATGTGCATAATCTCTGGGCCCAACCTTTTGTCGTCCTCCCATGGTCATCATCAGTCAAAGTCACTGTTGTGAGGAAAGAACATTGTTGTCACAGTTAGTGACGTGTAACTGCATTTAGATGTGAATGATTTAAGAAATCTCTTTGTGGTGCTGGTATTGTTGGCTCTGTGGATAAAGACGCCATCTGCAATACCATAATCTTTTATAAGTCCCAGCTGCTCTGCTCTCAGTCGGCTGCCTACTAAAGCGCCTGGGAGGTGGTGGATGGCGGCCCAGGTTCCTGAGCACCTGCCATCTATCAGGGAGGTGGGGATTGACTTCCTGGCTTCTGGCTTCAGCCTGGCTCAGCTCTTGCCATTGTGGCCATTTGGGAAATGAACTGGCAGATGGAAGATCAGTCTCTCTCCCGCTCTCCCTCCCTCTGTATCTCTGCCTTTCAAATAAATATTTAAAATGAGAAGTCGGTCTGTACACCCTTGATCACCGACTTCCAGTTGGAAACAGCTAGCACATCACTACAGACAGGTTTTACTGTTCCACCTCCAGGATTCCCTTGTTTGTAGGCAAACACTCGGCTCTCCTGCTTCACAGGAGCCAGCAGCACCTGCCTCGTTTGAGTTAGATGACTAGGAACAGCTTTGCTGGATCTCCAAGATGTTCCCTCTGGCAGCATTTATACCTTCCCCGGAACAGCAAGCCAACACCATGTTATTTGCCACTCCCCGAAGGAGTTCCTGGGGACTCTTGACATGCAGGTGCACACACGAGCCTTTAAAGTCCAGCCCGTGTCCTCCTGTGCACTGAGCAGGGGCAGCCCCAACCCCAGCACCCTGGGTCACGGCTGGATCTACTTGGTGAGAAAAACACATTCTCTTAAGTTTAAACCTCAGGTTAAAACCTCGCTTTCTATTGCATTGCCAGAAATGGGATGGCAGAGTGAGGGGAAGAGCGATTTGCCGTGAGTAAGGCTTCTCTCTGGATCCCAGAGGGAAAACTTCACGTGCAGGGGAAGATGCAGCGTGTCCTTCCAGAGCAGGGGGTGGAAGTTTGAGTGTTCATGCTGTGATGCGGCAAGTTGGAGCTAAATGAGAGGAGCAGGCTGTGGAGACGGGCTGTGTCGTGTCGCAGCTTGAGTTGGCACTGCCACGTTGCGCACTCCATGCTTGCTAAGTGGTGCCTCTCGGAGTGGGCTGGGGGATGCTGGAGGTCTCTGGTTGAGTCACACCTGTTGTCTGGTCGGGCCAGGTGGGCAGATCCACGGAGAGCCCCATCGACTTCGTGGTCACCGACACCATCTCGGGCGGACAGGGCAACGAGGAGGCCCAGATCACCCAGAGCACCATCTCCAGGTTCGCCTGCAGGATCGTGTGCAACAGGAATGAGCCGTACACAGCACGCATCTTCGCAGCCGGCTTCGACTCCTCCAGAAACATCTTCCTTGGAGTAAGTACTGTGACCAGGTGCCTGCTTACAAGGAGACAGCTCTAAGCTAGGCACAGCTGGGCGTGCCATTAAACAGCAACATGTGCTTGGCGGATTCCCCAAGCTCTGAGATGGTAGTTTTTCAGATGGCCAGTTTGCCATCTGGAAATTTGAAGATGAAGGGGCCACTGCCTGTTGTCTGTTATCTTTACTGTATTAATCACGTGGTTTACAGTGTACTCAGGATAAGGTTTTAAGCCACAAGATTTGGGGTCACTTAACTGACACTTAACTGACAAATGACCAGGCACTATGCTAGGTATAAGAGATAGACATTGAAGAACAAGCTAGGTTTTATGTTTGTGGATGATGTAGAGGTTTCATTCCAACAATGAATCACTGAAGCTGCATCATCAGAGCAGGGCTGAAAGCAGGGTGTTGGTGTCACCGTGATGTCCCTGCATGGCGGCCAAGCTAACATCTCTGTCCCGTGGTCCGCTCCCCCAGGAAAAGGCCGCCAAGTGGAAGAACCCCGACGGGCACATGGATGGGCTCACCACCAACGGTGTGCTAGTGATGCACCCACGAGGGGGCTTCACGGAGGAGTCGCAGCCCGGTGCCTGGCGTGAGATCTCCGTGTGCGGGGATGTGTACACCCTGAGGGAAACCAGGTCTGCGCAGCAGCGGGGGAAGCTGGTGAGTGGGCCTGCCTGAGAAGAGCACCCCCATTGCCTATCCCTGGGGGTGGGGAAGGGCCCCAGGCGCTGCCCACAGGACTGTGCCCCATGGCCCTTGGGGAACACTGGGCCCTGCCTGCAGAGCTGTGCCAGGAGCCTCACAGCAGCCAGACTCGGAGGGGAAGGGCTCATTCCCCCTCAGCTGAGTTCTTGCCATAAGTGGATGCAAATCACCTTTCACTGCCCACCATCATCATGAGAATGGAGTCTTTTATTATATCCATTGTCACAGAATTCCACTTACATTCACTCTTAGAGGGAAACTAGAAAAACGAAACCTATATTTAGTATAACGTTGTACTGATTTGGAAGAATCCTGAGCGATGTAAGACTAATCAGAGAAAATTCTGAATGAAAGAATGATTCTCTAGACTTTCTGGGACTAAGAAAGAAGGAAGTTGGCTGTTCCCCACAGTCACAGTGACAACTTTCAGTTGTAGTGACTCGTAAACTCCATTGACCTAGCACCTGGGAACTTCCCTGCAAACAGCACCACACGTGGCACTGAGTCCTACGGCTGTTGGTTTGTTAGCCACCTTCTGCGGAGAATAATTCTGGAACCTTCCATGGGAAGCTTTGGATTTCTGGTCTTGCCAGAGGCATGTACTACAGTGACCAGAAAACAAACAAACTTCCATACCAAACTCTCTGGTCCCTCACTTTTCATGACTTTTGAGGTTAAAGCTAGAAAAATGGGCCTTCCTGGTGACATGTAAAGATGTAGGGAAGACAGGAAGTATGTTTTCAGAGAGAAAAACAAAAACTGAAAAAGAGCTGGAGGGGTGTGGCAGCCTGGCGCACTAGCGTGCCCCGGATACGTGTTCTTAGAGAACTGTGGTTTTATTGCTTTTCCGTTGCCTTCCTGTGCTGCAGGCACAGCTCCTGTGTTTCTCAGTAACAGGCCAGTCTTCAAGTGTCAGGGTTGAACAAACCTGAGAAGGCATTTTCCAAAGAAAGGCCAAACAAATACAGTAATATTGTTGAAAATATTTTGGGGGGAAGTTATGAACAAGAAAAGGTATGTAAGGGCAGTTTTGGTATTTTTTTTTCCAAGTAACTTTTTTCATTCCTGATCATCTTATGGTTGAGCACAAGCCTGACTTAGCCTGGCTAGCCTGGCGCTTATTCATGCAGAACAAGCCAAATTCGACAAGTGAAGCTGCAGGTGCCAAACACCTTCCCAACTTGAGCCCTTTAGCCCGGCACCTCAGCCCTCGGAGGGACAGGGAATCCTCCCAGTGTGGTGGTGAGGAGGATGTGGGGGGCAGGGGTGAGGTGCTCAGTGCCGTGTGACGTCATGCAGCGAGCTGATGGCAGCAGCAGATGGGCCCCCTCCATGGCTCTCGCTCAGAAGCCGGCCGTGGGACCCGAGCCCAGCTCCCACCACTGGAATCTGCAGGCACAGATGTGAGCAGGACAGCACCACGTGACTCTGGTCTGCCCTGGTTCTTGGGTAGCGGCCCTGCCTGGGCTGCTGTGCTCTCAGAGAACTTCACCAGAAAGAGCCAGTGCCCCAGAAGTCACGGTTACAACACGCAGACCGATGTTGAGTAGAGGTCATTTAAGTGACACTTCGGTCTGCGTGAAGTTGTGCTCTCCTGTGACTCTGGCTGTTGAGTGGTGTGGGGAGTGAACCAGCAGGTGGAAGATGGCTCCACCTCTCTGTCACATTTGTAATAAATATTAGCAGTAAGCACCCAGGGAGATTTGTGAAGCTGATGGAAACAGCCACAGGTGAAGCTGGGTCAGCCTCGCTCAGGGTTCTGTGCGGGATGAGGTTCCTACCCCGCATCGGGCTCCACACCCGTTTGCAGTGGAGTAAATTGCCTCCCCATTTCTCCTCCCAGCCCGGATAATTTCTTAGAGGCCAAGGAGTTTGCCTTCACCAAACCCACTTGTCCCCGTTGGTTGGTCGCAGGTGGAGAACGAAACCAACGTGCTGCAGGACGGCTCGCTCATCGACCTGTGCGGAGCCACGCTGCTCTGGCGCACCGCCGACGGCCTCTTCCACACGCCCACGCAGAAGCACATCGAGGCGCTGCGGCAGGAGATCAACGCGGCGCGGCCGCAGTGCCCCGTGGGCCTCAACACCCTGGCCTTCCCCAGCATCAGCCGGAAGGAGGTGGTGGAGGAGAAGCAGCCCTGGGCCTACCTCAGCTGCGGCCACGTGCACGGCTACCACAACTGGGGCCACCGCAGCAACGACGCCGAGGCCAACAAGAGGGAGTGTCCCATGTGCCGAACTGTGGGCCCCTATGTCCCGCTGTGGCTCGGCTGCGAGGCGGGGTTTTACGTGGACGCGGGGCCTCCCACGCACGCGTTCACGCCCTGCGGACATGTGTGCTCCGAAAAGTCGGCGAAGTACTGGTCCCAGATCCCCCTGCCCCACGGGACGCACGCATTTCACGCTGCCTGCCCCTTTTGCGCCACACAGCTGGTGGGGGAGCAGAACTGCATCAAGTTGATTTTCCAAGGTCCCGTGGACTAACCCCACCCCCCCCGGGGCCCCCCCAAGGCCGGCCACAACTTGATTAACAAGTTACTGTGAAGATTTTGCCATTAACTCCAGATCTAACTTTTTTTTTTTTAATGCTGTTTATGGAGAGGAGGGGTGGGGACAGGGCACAGGGGTTGGGACTCACGGGGCATCAGCAATGGGACAAGGGTGCAGCACCTCTGGGCAGCGTGTTGCATGCTCACAGCATCAGGTCTGCCCCTGACATCTGCTTGATCCAGCCCTAGCCTCTGTGTACGAATTGGATTTGAGATGCCATGATTTGATTTTTGACATTGGGTGGTTGTTATTTTTCCTTTTTGAACTTGGACAGGCCTTTGCACCGTGTTCCATATGTGTAGGAGTGTCCTCCCAGGTTGTTGGCACTCAGTGTGCACCCCACCATGCTCCCTGGTACAGGCATTGCCCCAAGGCCCAGGGGGCAGCGCCTAAGGTGTGAGCATGGAATGGGGGCCCTGAGGCATGGCGGGGTGTTCTGCAACTGGGGGCTGCTTTTCTGACCTATATTTTTCTCTTTTTGCAGGGGGGACTATTCACATGTTATATATATATATTTTTCAACTCCAGTGGAATTTATACATTCATTCTGATACTTGGCACTGCAAACAAAGAATTTTCTTTTGTTTGAGGGTCTGCTTTTTTCGTTGTTGTCAGTTTCTATCTCATGTAGTTTGTCTCTGTAGTCATCTTGCATGGCCAACAACCATTTCATGAATGAACATACCACAGTTCCTGAAGCTTGGTTAGTAGAGTGTGTCCCCCACTGGGGGCACCACCTCAAATGCTGCACTGTCAGACTCATTTGCTCACTCAGCTGTGTCATTTGCGAGACAAGTAAGCTTCTGCTTTGGAAACCACTTGTTGGGGGTCTCATAAGATTTTCTTTTCTTCTCCCTTAAGAACGCCAGGAATTCCCAGAGCCTCAAAGCAACAAGTCACCAGGATAATCATTTCTGTTCACTCACTTGGCACCATCTGTCACCTTCCACTGCAGCTTAAGGAGCTCTGGAAGTTCTGAAAATGTTTACAAATCAAACTCGATTTGAATGCGATCATTTGACATACACAGCCCCAGGTGGTGCATCTGCAGAGATCATCCAAAATTTCTGATTTTGAGAGAGCAAATGAGTGTTTACTGGGGAGTAATTCAATCAGACTTTCATACGAGCCCTCCATCCCTTCCTGGTAGCTCTGCTCCTTTTGATGAATAATTTTTGATGCTCATTTCTCTCTGTGCTGGGGACCAGTAGCATCACTGCTCCCAGAGTAGAGACCCTTTAAGACACGGGCTGCTCGGGAATGGCCAAGGTAAAATAGGTCCCTGGCACGCAGGGCAAGTGTTTATTTAAGCTGACAGCCTCTTGACATTGACCACCGCAGATTCAAGCTACCTTTTTCATTTTTTGTGTATATACATACATAATTTATATGATTCTAACATACTCTTACATCCATACTTGAATTGGTACTTCGGCATGTTGCCTACGTTCAGTAGTTCTGATCTATTGGAATGCCCTTTTCCTTAACAGTGAGAAGATACATTACTCTCAATTGTTGCTGCTTAATTTGACTTAATACCTGCAGTATCCAGCTTCTCCCTGTGGAAGCATTGCCCGTAGCGATCAGTGTTAAGGATGAGGCATTTTGACTTTGGTTTTATATATAATTTGCTTGAATATTGCAAAAATCCAACAATAGTCCTACAGATAGCACCTTCCATTCTGTTTTGTGCAGCTTCCACTAGACACACAGAAAACGAGAAGGGGGAACAACCCGGAGTCATACACTGGATGCCTTCCAATGTAGTGATCAGCTGCCCCCAAGAGAGTGTCTGTTAAGCCTGTGATTTTTTTTTTATCAAGCCCAAGGGGCGATAAAAGCAGGCAGCACCTTCCACTTGCTGGCTAGGTGGCAAGAAGACAATTGTAAGATAAATGGTCTTGCATCCAGAAAAACCAGATTTGACTGTCAAAAAAGAATAGAAAGCTGTGCTCTGATGTCATGATTGCCCCTTGAAAGGACTGCATGTGGTATTTCTGCAGAGACATGTACCCCCAAATAAAATTATGTCCCAGCCAGAACAGTTCCTGACTTTTGGGAAGCTGAAATTCAAGCTCTGGAAGTGATGCCAGCCGACCCCACCTTCTGTGGGAACTGTATCTTTGGTTCTGGGCTCCAAGTGAGGCCGCCTTCCACCTGCCCAAGGAGCCGCAAAAAAAGGCCACAAGGGGAACCAGCAGGAGCTGAGCTTAGCCTGGCTGCCTTTAATCAGTCCCTGAAAGATTTTGCTGAATGAGATTTGTGTGTGTGTCAGAATTGAAAGCAATTTAGTATGTGAGAATGAGGAATTCTGGCTCACCAAAATAGAATAATACAATTGTTGAGAAAAAGTCACTTCTATCTGTCTGACTTGCTTCCCATCCCTTTGAAAGACAGAGCTCAGCGCCCTTGAGAATATGCAAGGAAACCACTGGCCAATTAGCCTGGCTAAGATGCCTTCGTGAGTAGATTTCCAGAAGCAAATCCCAGGTGATGTATTCCCATAGATGATATTTTTTTCCAGTTTATGTCAATTTACTGCAACAGGAAACACACACACACACACTCTCACACACTGATTCAGAGTGGCTAGGCTACAACTCTTGAGTATTTTTCTAGTCCAAAGTTTTTTATTATTAACACTTGGTGCTGTCAGGTCATGGATGCTGTAACTTTCAACATTTCCCTGTTTTGGTTAAACTGTTTGCAAAAAGGGCTACAGTTCACACTGCAGAATAAGTATTAAGCTTTCTGGGTTCCCCCACGCACACCCCCAACTGTGGCCCAAAAGAATTAAAATCTTTTAATATAAATAGAAAACATATTTATCATTCCTTGATAGTTAATTATAAAGTTTGGTACCTTTGAGCCTCAGGGAAGCCACGTGATGTAACTGGTTATAGAATTTCAGGGTTAGGATTTAAAGAAAGGAGAAAGCCATTGGAAAAATGATGGGCTCCATGAAGGAGACTAATGAATTTGGATGCAGAAATATGCCAGGAAGTGGCATAAACATGATTGTAGTAGGATTTATTTTCCAATACCAATAGGGAAATTATTTCTTAAGTTATTAAATAACTTAGACCACATTAGGACAGTTGAGAATGCCTTTTTTTTTTATCTTTTTTTTTTGCATGAATAGAAAAACCTCCATTCTCTGAGAGCTCAGTGTTGTTATTTGGGCATTTTTGAGATTTTTAGGAGCACATTCTTTTTTGTCTCAAGTGTAATCCAGGTTTAGAATTGTAACTTGCAATTGTATGATGTTGCTCAGCTCTTCTTTTTTTAAGCCACTCTTGCTTTGGATGTGTGCGAAGGGGCAGGTGGCCACACAGTCCTCCAACAGAGCTGGGTGAAAAGAGGACATCCCTATACAGTCCTGCCTCCTGGAGGTGGCATCCCTGAGAGACACGCCATGGTCCGTCCCGTGGCGCAGCCCTGCTGGGCCAAAGCACCCAGCTCTTCCTCCAGTGCTGGAAGTCAGCTCAGCTGTGTGATCCAAAACCCTGTGCAACAACTCCAGGGCCTTCTGCAAAGAATGTAAACCAGACTGAAGCAAAGAAACGAAACAGGTTCATTATACTCTTTTTCGTAAGACTCACATCCTTACAAGTTAAGTGTTTGCCCTCATGAGGAGTCTCCAGAGAAAGACGGGGGGGAGGGGATAAAAAACAACTATTTTTCCAGTTCTACTTTACTGTTTCTAAACATGTTTCTAAGCAAAAGTGAACTCAGTGAAAGGGAAATTCCTGCTTTTTAGCTGAAATGACAGATTGCTTCTCTTCTAGTCTGCACGTTCAGTGGGGTCATAGTCACCATGTATAGTGTTACGGAGAGTTGAATTTTATGGATATATTTGTAAAATTGTTCTTTTATATTCCATGTCAAATTGAAAAGTTTATTTCTTCACTATTGTACCTGTGGAAATACAAGCCATTTTACAGGGGGAAAAAAATCTTGGAAAACTATTAAATGGATCTCAGTACATCTGTGTGAGTTGTCTTCCGGCTCCGTGGTTGCCGCTGGGTTCCTGGGGTCTTCAATTGAAGGCTGACTCAAAAGGAGACTTGGGGTCTGCATTTCTAGAACTTTCAAGTTCATCCCAAACATCTGAGAGATTTATTCATTATTCTATGTTCTTTATGACACATATTTATATCTGGATTCTGAATTTTCTCTGTTTTTCCAACTTTCGCTGCACTGAAGGACCTCCACGGGTACTGATAAAACTGTCTCTGCAACATCACAGTCATTTGTAACTTCCAGCAGAAGTTAAAGTTATAAGTTAGAAAGTTAAAGTTATAAGCCTGGCTTATAGAATCAGTGGATTGACTTCCTGATTGTTAGGGTCAAAACTGGCACTCTTGTGGCAGTCTTCATTTTGGTAACCAAGATTGTATATAAGGATTCAAGCCTTAAAAAAGTACATCTATCATAAGAAAATATGTGTAATTATGATGTTTTTTCTCATTACATTGCCACTCACAGCATTTGAAGTGTTTCAATTCTGATAAAAAAGAAAAAGCATATTCATACAGGTTCTTATTTAAGAGGATAAATGTTCCATACTTCATCAAATGTAACATGCCACAGATTGTCAGATGTGTTTTTTTTTTTAAGAACCACAGCCAGTTGTGGTCTCAAGATATATTCCACTTACCAAAGACAACAGGCCTGCTGGGGAAGGACACAGCAGGGACAACTGGACATCCACTTGTGCTTTGGACCTACAGACTAGATGATGGCACAGAGGTGCATGGTGCATGCTGGGAGGAACTGGTAGGCTACATGGTGAGGACCAACTATGCCTCTGGGGTATCCATCACTAAATCTTCATTGTGCTTGCTGGTTCTGAGACCCAGCACGAGCTCCTGGAACCTGGAAGTGTTGGGGACAGGATTCCTTCCAAATCCAGGCCACCCCTGCTCTGTGATGCTAACAGCCATTTTCTCTTAGGTGAATCGACATGCCTCTTCATTTGTCTCTTTTCTAAATTTATACTGCCTGTCTTTTTTCATTAATTTCTTCAGTTCCTGCCTTAACCACTTCCATACTGCAGGAAAACCCTCCAGAAACTTTAAAAACTAGCTTCAAGGAATCTCTTGTGTGTGATTCTGGAAGCTCACTGCATCCTCAAAAGTGTCGTGATGGGCACTTGTGGGTCAGCCACAAGCTATGGATTCCTATTGTCTAATGACGAATGTAGAATAAACTTGGACGGGAGATTTTTTTAAATTTCCGAGCCCAATTTCTATAAATATACATCCTGGAGATGTTTTTTGCCGTTTAGATTCATCGGATTAGATGGATGGGCCAGTGTTTCCTCATAAAACGGGCAACCACAGTGCTCCTCTTTCTTACCATAACACATGCTCCACTGTATCTGGCTGGTGCTCAGTAAAAGAGAATTGCTTAAGTTATTCTCTTGCAAAACATAACCCAAATGTCTTCTTCAGAAAAACAAGGCCATATCATCTTACAACATTGGGAAAGAATTTAATGCATTCTAAGTTTATTTAACCACACACTATAAATATATAATTTATTTGGTCACACACACTATATATATATATACAATATCTAAGTTCTTAGGGAATGCTGAATTTGGTAGGTTGGAACTATGACCCACACAGTCTCATTTATTTTAAATAAAAGAGTATGAGCTTAGCGTTGGATGTTTCTTTCATGTAGTTCTGTTTCTATTATTTTAAAGATTTATTTATTTGAAAGGCAGAGTGACAGTAAGGAAAAGATCTTTGATCTGTTGGTTCACTCCCCAAATGGCACAACAGCCAGGGGCCAAAAATTCCACCGAGCTCTCGCAGGTGGAGAGCAGGGGTGAGCCCGACTGACTTCACATTTCTCTACCTTCCCAGGTATGTTAACAGGAAGGTGGGGCCGAAGCAGAGGAGCTGAGACTCGTGAACAGCATCTCATTGTGGCAGCCAAGCCCTCTATGTCACCACATTGGCCCCATGGTCATGTGACTTTAAACCTTAAGCACTGCTACCATATTGTGCGCTACTCTGTCACGGTCTATGACAGACACAGTCCAAGGTGGTAGGGTGTAATTGTGTGAAAAGAAATCCCTCGCTCATATACTCGTGAGCTTTGCAGTTGAGGACATGAGATCACTCACAATTCCTGCAGCACTTTTTCAGTTACCAGGCCTTTCCCCATTTTAATTACTTTTTCTAATCTCAAAGCCCTATTGTGTGTATTAGAATTAGTTGATGTATTTGGAGGCCTGCATCTCCTGTGTTGAACAAGTGCCTGTCTCCACTGTCAGCCTAGGTTGCTGACGGAAAGCATTGTCCTCCCATTTGCCACACCCCTGTGATGGAACCCTGCACCATGACCACAGCTGAAGTCCCTCCAGCCCAGTATCCTCTCCTTTGGATGAGAACACCTTGTCTGGCTGAGCCAGTTTACAGAAAATTTCTTCCTGCTTTGATCCTTTTTGTGCTTTCATCTTTAGGATGTAAATATCCCCAAAACAGATTCCAGCAATGAGCTTAGTACAGATTGAGCTTAGTTGATGTATACATCAACATGACAGCAAATACAACAAACAGAAGCACCAAACCAGTGTGGTCAGTGAAAGATCATGCAGTTTTCTGTCAGTTTCTGGTGATTGTATGGCCTCCTATTGGTCATATGAGTTCATGCAAGCTACTTAGTGTCCCTTGGAAGATATGAGGTTACTAAGTGATTTTCAAACTGGATGTATTGTGTACAATATATTTGAAAAAACACCAAAATCCTTGGAACTGGTGTTGGGGTACATCAGGCTAAGCAGCCACCTGTAATGGCTGTATCCCATATGGGTGCCAGTTGTAGTCCCAGCTGCTTCACTTCCCATCCAGCTCCTGCCAGTGGCCCTGGAATGCAGTGGAGATGACCCAAGTGCTGGAACCCCCGTCACCCACTTGGGAGACCCAGTCAGAGCCCCTGACTTCAGCCTGGCGTATCCCTAGCATTGTAGTCATTTGAGGAGTGAACCAGTGGGTGGAAGAGCTCTCCATCCAACTTTCCTTCTCTCTCTTTCAAGCAAGTAAATCTTTTTTTAAAATCACATGTAAAACAAAAGCAGTACTTTAGTACCATACATTATATAAGCCTAAATGTAAAATTATCTAAAACCTAGTTGTAGGAATAATAATAATAGTATTTGTCTGCCTTACCCATTTGTCATGTATGTTTGTTGCAGAAAAAATGATTTGTGGTAGACCCAGCATGGTAGCTTTGTGGCTAGGGTCCTCACCTTGAATGCGCCAGGATCCCATATGGACATTTGAGAAGATGAAAAATTTATAATACCTAGTAATTATATCACACTTATTAGAATCAGACAAAAATCTGGTAATGGTTCAAGACATCTGTGTCATACCTTGGCATAGCCAGTAAGCGCAGGCAGACACCAAGTAAAAAGGCTTTAACTACACTCTTACAGGCTGGATTTTCAAAAAGAAATAAGATCCCTAGAGAACCAGTGTTAGGAGAGCCCTGTGTGCTCTGTACTCACAGCTCTCTTTCACCTGCAGCCCCCAAGTGGCCCAACATGCCACAAGCGACCCCTGCAATCTGTAAACCATTGCTTTGGAGCTTCTAATCATTCAGATAGGATCCCATCCTTTCTTCCTAAAGGGCTGAGTGGCCAGCATTGATTTTGGCTGGGAAAATGGGTCCTCTCCTCCTGCCTTGAGATGCTTGTCCTGGGAGCAGAGAGCCAGGGGCTGGTGGTTCCAGCACTGGAAGAGATGCCCACTGTCATTCAAGGAGCTTCAGTGGATGAGTCTGATGCTGGTGGATCCAGTGGGCCCAACAATGGGACTTGGAAGATTAAAGACAACCCAGCTGAGCCAAGGTTCTCAACCATTCTGTGTGAGCACCTAGCCACTAGCCTTCCTTTGAGGTCAGGGGGAAAATAGGGCAATGGCTGGACATACCTGGAGAACAGATCACTCCCGAAGAAAGCTTAAACGGGATGTGTTGAGGATGTCTGCTGGGCTTGCTCCTTGGTTTAAAGGCACTGGGCTCAGATATGAAAGTAGTCCCGGTGTATATTGTTAAAAGAGAACTGGGTATGGAGACAACACCCTCACCCTCTAGACCCTTCCTGCCCTGCCCCGCATGCCTGCCATGAGAGGAAGAGCCCCGGGGCTGTGATGAGGCGCCTTTAAGAGAAGTTCAAGTTATTCTCAGCTTAGGGTGCTCCTGGATCCCAGAAACAAATCTTTCACCCCACAGCAGAGCATCCAGACCTTGGAAAGCACACCACTATTTTTAGTAAAGTGTGTCCTTGTATTTCTGCCTGATGAGTCAGGACTCCTTTTAAAAATACTTGACATTCCTCAGAGGAAAGATCCCCACCCTTAATGTTCCCGGTTGCTACTATTCTGATCAGCCAGGCAGGAGTTGCTCCTTTTCTTAGCTGCTCCAGTCACCCCACCTCCCCCTCTTCTTGGTGCTCCTGCCCATTTCAGAAGCAACAACAGCCCAAGCAGGTGCACTCAGGGAGAGGCACCGCTCATACATTCTGGGAGCCAAAAGGGCAGCAGCTGGGGCAAAGTCGGGATTGCCACAGGTCATCATGTCACTGAGCACAAAAGCACGATTTGACCATTCTACAGATCCAGGACCGAGGTGGCAAGACCCTGTGAGCTCCAGGGAGAATCTTCATAGCTAGCAACAGAAGTGTAAACTGTGTGGCTTCTCCCAGCTGAATGTGGCAATTTTTCCCTCTTTCAACCCCAATCCCAGCCCAAGAAGGAATTCACTTTCTCATAACGCTTGGCTTTCTTCAATGTGTTTTCCCTGTGGTTCTCTGCAGTACACCCAAGTATATCAAGGTTCATTCATTGCTGTCATGATAACGTACCTCGATAAACTTGTGGAAAAATAGGCATTTTCTGGGAGGAGGAGTGTGCTGGCTGAAGCTGAGTTTGTGAATAGCCTTGCTTCTGCAATGGTCTTACCA